AAAAAGACGTTTAAGTGCGCCTTATAGTCGTGAAAATACGGTACCTGGAACCAAGCACCTGTAGTTGTTTGTGAGAGTGCACTAGTGCATGTAAAGTTTATCCAAAGGAAAAATTTTGAATAGTGGTTGTGAAGAGCCAAAGACCCGCCCCGCCAAGAGCACCGAGGCGAGCGCTGGGGGACCCAAAACCCAGATGCCCAAAGGGACTCCCAGAGCAAAACTGCCCAGGAGGGGCCAACCCAGGAAATCCAGCCCCCCCACCAAGGGAAGAGGAGAGACGGCCCCAAGGAAATCCCCCAGCCGCAATGCCAAAGCCCCCAGGAGCCACGGAGACGAGCCCGCGGGCTCCACTGGCAGCCAGCCAACCAGAAGTGGAACTGGCCATGGGCTCCGGGGGGCCAGGCCCCGCAAAGCAGACGCCAGGAATAAGCCAGCACCCGCTCGGTCATCCATCCCCAAACACCGAAACCCGGATTGGGGGGGAGGGGAGCGGTGTCGCCACCACACTCACTCATCTAGTTCCTGCTTCAGACCCGGGCCTTCTTTCCGCACCCGGACCAGGCGACCCCTGGCACAAGCCCCCCAGGGACTGGGACCACATGTCCCACACGCGCCACCCAACCAGAATCCTCTTTCATTTCTGGACAGACTTTGTGCCCCTAATTTCTCTCCACATAATAAAATAAGTACGTTGGTCATAATCGAGAGAGGAGAGTGAGAGAAGAGACAGAAATCTCTGTGCTATAAAAGAAACTTTCATTTAAATGCCTCAGCACTTTTTACCGCTTCTCTTCCTAATTTTATCCAAAACTTTTGCTTTTCACATTGCTTAGTGTTTATTTCCATAAAAGACAGATCAGACTCAGGGAGGAGATTGACCAGAGGCCAGCAGCAGAGTCCACCATGCAGGGTCTGCACAGGTGAATAAAGAATAAGTAATAAGTAGGCAAGAAGTATTCCATTGTAATTTTGACTTCCTAATTCCTATTTTAAAATTTCTCTTTACACATTTTAAATGTTTATTGCCATAATAGAGGAAAGCCAGGAGGGAGATGGACCAGATACCAGCAGCAGGTAGAATGATGTAGGATCTTTACAGGTAAGGAGAGTTTCTAACGTCATAAGAACAACAACAGCAGGGAGAAACAATACAGGTAATAGGAAAAAAGGATTTCTCAGGTATTTTAGAGGAAAGGTGGAATTGAATATTAGAGACTAAGGAACTTTAAAAAAAAAGGTGTCCCCCTAATTTCTGAGTGGTTATGTCCATGAAAATATAGTTTGGACTATATCTGTTAATTGTTTTCAAAATCATTGTTGTTATATCCATTGTTTTTTACTAAAGTAAAACTTTATCAAATCAGTACGCTAGACTTGTCTTGAAAATGAAATAGATGTATACAGTAGTAGCCATTCAAAATTTCCCCACTTTCCTTGATGGGTCCTTGTCTAGTTCCCTTTAATTTCTTTTTAAACATCAATCTTTGTACTAAAATATTCTGTCATGATTTGTGGACATTAAGATCTAAAGAGAAGCATCATCTCCTGGTCAGACCCTGTAATTCAGTGAAAGGGTGGAGTCATTTTTTTACAAAGTTAAAATTATAATTCTTATAGAACAAAAAAAAACAACAACAACAAAACAGTTAAACCTGGATGCAAACAGTGAAAATAGACAGTTATACAGTTAATTAGAATTGCTCTGGGTGTTAAATAAATGAGACCATCAGTGAGATGAGCTCCTGCTTGTATTTCTTCTGTCATTTTCTATTCTAGATGCTGGCCAAACCAGCTCAGATAAGGTTTACATTATGTAGGTCTAGTCAGAAATTACATTAAGTTAAGTAATAACCTGAAATAACTTTAATGTGTACTTTTGTTCAAGTTGAAGAACCATTTTAAAGATTTTTCTGAGTTGTTTACTTTTTTTTTTCTTTAGGCGTAACAAAATTCTGGCTGATATAAAACCTCTGTGGCTGGTGGCAAAAAAAGTGAACGTCAGGACCTGCCTGTCGGTATGCAGGGTGTCTGCTGCTCCAAGCAACAGCGTTTTTAAGTAGATGATGCCCTGAAAATGCTTTTAAGTGGCCCTTTTAAAACATTAGAAAATTTTTATTTAAAAAAAAAAATCCTGTCTTTAAATCTGTGTTTTTTTTTTTTTTT